GTCCTCTCCCCCGCGCTGTCCTCTCCCCCGCGCTGTCCTCTCCCCCGCGCTGTCCTCTCCCCCGGCGCTGTCCTCTCCCCGGCGGTGTCCTCTCCCCCGCGGTGTCCTCTCCCCCGCGCTGTCCTCTCCCCCGATGCTGTCCTCTCCCCCGATGCTGTCCTCTCCCCCGGCGCTGTCCTCTCCCCCGATGCTGTCCTCTCCCCCGGCGCTGTCCTCTCCCCCGCGCTGTCCTCTCCCCCGCGCTGTCCTCTCTCCCCCCGCGCTGTCCTCTCCCCCGCGCTGTCCTCTCCCCCGCGCTGTCCTCTCCCCCGGCGCTGTCCTCTCCCCGGCGCTGTCCTCTCCCCCCGCGGTGTCCTCTCCCCCCGCGCTGTCCTCTCCCCGGCTCTGTCCTCTCCCCCGGCGCTGTCCTCTCCCCCCGCGCTGTCCTCTCCCCCGGCGCTGTCCTCTCCCCGGCGCTGTCCTCTCCCCCGGCGCTGTCCTCTCCCCCGGCGCTGTCCTCTCCCCCGGCGCTGTCCTCTCCCCCCGCGCTGTCCTCTCCCCGATGCTGTCCTCTCCCCCGGCGGTGTCCTCTCCCCCCGCGCTGTCCTCTCCCCGGCGCTGTCCTCTCCCCCCACGCTGTCCTCTCCCCCCGCGCTGTCCTCTCCCCGGCGGTGTCCTCTCCCCCGCGCTGTCCTCTCCCCCGCGCTGTCCTCTCCCCCGCGCTGTCCTCTCCCCCGGCGCTGTCCTCTCCCCGGCGGTGTCCTCTCCCCCGCGGTGTCCTCTCCCCCGCGCTGTCCTCTCCCCCGATGCTGTCCTCTCCCCCGATGCTGTCCTCTCCCCCGGCGCTGTCCTCTCCCCCGATGCTGTCCTCTCCCCCGGCGCTGTCCTCTCCCCCGCGCTGTCCTCTCCCCCGCGCTGTCCTCTCTCCCCCCGTGCTGTCCTCTCCCCCGCGCTGTCCTCTCCCCCGCGCTGTCCTCTCCCCCGGCGCTGTCCTCTCCCCGGCGCTGTCCTCTCCCCCCGCGGTGTCCTCTCCCCCCGCGCTGTCCTCTCCCCGGCTCTGTCCTCTCCCCCGGCGTTGTCCTCTCCCCCCGCGCTGTCCTCTCCCCCGGCGCTGTCCTCTCCCCGGCGCTGTCCTCTCCCCGGCGCTGTCCTCTCCCCCGCGGTGTCCTCTCCCCCCGCGGTGTCCTCTCCCCCGGCGCTGTCCTCTCCCCGGCGCTGTCCTCTCCCCCGCGCTGTCCTCTCCCCGGCAGTGTCCTCTCCCCGGCGCTGTCCTCTCTCCCCGCGGTGTCCTCTCCCCCCGCGGTGTCCTCTCTCCCCGCGCTGTCCTCTCCCCCCGATGCTGTCCTCTCCCCCGGCGCTGTCCTCTCCCCCGGCGCTGTCCTCTCCCCCGGCGCTGTCCTCTCCCCCCGCGCTGTCCTCTCCCCCCGCGCTGTCCTCTCCCTGGCGCTGTCCTCTCCCCGGCGCTGTCCTCTCCCCCCGCGGTGTCCTCTCCCCCCGCGGTGTCCTCTCCCCCGGCGCTGTCCTCTCCCCCGGCGCTGTCCTCTCCCCCGGCGCTGTCCTCTCCCCCCGCGCTGTCCTCTCCCCGGCGCTGTCCTCTCCCCGGCGCTGTCCTCTCCCCACGGTGTCCTCTCTCCCCGCGCTGTCCTCTCCCCCCGATGCTGTCCTCTCCCCCGGCGCTGTCCTCTCCCCCCGCGCTGTCCTCTCCCCGCACTGTCCTCTCCCCGGCGCTGTCCTCTCCCCACGGTGTCCTCTCTCCCCGCGCTGTCCTCTTCCCCCGATGCTGTCCTCTCCCCCGGCGCTGTCCTCTCTCCCCGCGCTGTCCTCTCCCCCCGATGCTGTCCTCTCTCCCGGCGCTGTCCTCTCTTCTGGCCATGCCCTCTCTCCCGGCGTCTGGAGTGCAGGGTCTCTACAATGAGCCCTTATTCACCTGTCCCTGGCTCGGTTTCACACAGTTCCACATATTTGCTCTCTCTTTCCAAACTAATGTCTGTTCCTTGCTGCTTGAGTCTCAATTTTCCACTATTTCCAGCCACGTCTGGGGAAAAGCGGCGCGAGCCGTTCTCTTGAGCACCCCGGGGCCTGTGACGGGATCGCGCGCATTCCTCCTGGGATACTCGTGGGGCAGGAACCCACCCAGCCTCAGTGGACTGTGAGCAGTGCCGCGTGGCCACGCCACCCCCTCCTCCCTGTCAACGCACTGGTATCCCGGGGCTGAGGCCCCAGGGTGTGTGGCTGCAGATAAACAGCTACAGGCTTTGCTCCAGAACTGATAACCCAAGACACAGAGCTGTGGCAGTACGCTGTGACACACTAACAGATGAACCTAAAACGGGGCTGTTAATTAATTGTGCAAACAAATTTCATGAAGAACGTTTACTGACGTAGGAAAAGGAACCATTTTCAAACAGATTAGAGGTATCGTTTACACAGAAGCAGAATTGGTGAAGTGTAAATAAGGAATAAGCTACTTTGATCCTCTAATTATCTTTATTTATTAACAATGTTTCTACCAGGACACTTTGTGGAATTATGACATGGTACCACTGGAAAATTACACAGAATCAGGTTAGGTCTAATTCTGACTTTTGTCTCAAATCACATCTGTCCTATTGGTTTGCTGTGATGGGATTTCTAAGTTATCTGAGGCTCCAGATTATTATAAATGGTACAAAAACAGCATTCATCTGGGTCCAGCATTGCAAAGGCCACTGCCCAGCCCGGCACCTGACACATAGTAGGTGTTCAGAAACACACACTGTGTGCCAGGAATGCTCTAGAAGCTCAGGGTCCTGAGGTGGGGCCTGAGGGTGTGGTGAACTTTGTCTCAAGAAAATTGGGAGTTCTTTCAAATCTCTCCCTCACGTGCCTTCTGCGGAGGCCTTTGGATAAACGGATGACACTGACTGAGATGTGTTCCACTCACAATCTGACGGATTGAAACCGTTCTGCACAGAGAAGAAGGAAAAAGGAAGGAAGGATGGAGGGAGGGAGAGAGGGAGAGAAGGAGGGAGGGAGGGAACGATGGCAGGCAGGCTCAATGAAAGATGAGAAGCACCAGTGGGTGACGGGGGCGGAGGCTGCTGGGGCAGCAGGGGCGGTGGGGTATGGCACAGACTCCCTCCCCATCGCTGTTCCTGGCTTTGGTGACCTTTTAGATCGCACTCAGGGCTCCAGTGAGGAGAGCCGAGCCTCCTCCTGGATGGAGTGAAGGTGACCCCCTGCTCCACGCCGCCTCCTCTTCGTCCATGTGCCCTAGTGAGGGCCAGCAGCCGCAACAAGAACCAGTGTCTGGCCCTGGTTCTGGGGCCAGTGGGAAAGCTGGGCCCTGCCTGTGCCTCCATCTCCCTATCCCCTAAATAAGAAGGTTGCTCTTAGTAAACTTACAAAACACAAACCAAACCAAACCCTGGTTCCCCCGCAGAGGCTGGTGGCTGAGGGAAGGGCCGGCCGGCTGGGGTAAGACCTCATCTTCAGTCCATTGAGGTGAGTGCACACCCCTGCCCCCTCCAGCTCCAGAGGGCTGAGCTCAGGTTTGAAATGTCAAGTTGGTGGAGTCGGGGAGCTGGCGCCGAGGCCATGGGCACCGTGGGAAGCCGCGGGCGCTTCCTCCTGGCCAGGAGGAGGCAACGTCTGCTGGGTGCTTCCACTCAGCAAGAGCTTCCTACCCACCCCCCCAGACTCGCTGTCCCCGCCGTCCCCAGGCTTGGCAGGACAGCGCGGGGATGGGCTGCTAAGTGGTCACGATCAGACAGAAACTGCCACTGCCCGCGGCCACGCCAGGCCATGGCCACGGCCACGCTCCCGAGGCTCTGCTCTGTGGCCTGGTGTCCCCACACCTCACCTCACAAGCCCAGAGCGGATCGCACCCTGAATGAGGGACTGGGCTCAGACGTGTCACACTTATGGGAGACTGCGGACACTATGAGAGCGGAGGGCAACTTGGGGCCACGAGGCCAAGGGGCAACGTGATCACATCACCGGGAGTGCACCGGACGGACGAGAGCAGAAACAACACGCGCCTGCTTCTCAGCAGATGCCTCCCTGCCCCACGATTCACCACGAAGAATAAGCCATCGGCTTCATTGAGACAATGATCTCAGGCTTCCAAGTGACCCCAAATGTGCCCTGACCCCATGTGCCCTGACCCCCCCCCATGACCCCACACGCCCTGACCCCCCCCACCATGACCCCACACGCCCTGACCCCACACCACAGAACAGCATCTTGCACACCTCCCACGCGTCTCTGTCTCGTAGCCGTTAGGAGCTGTGCTTCTTAGCTAGAAGGGCGGGATCAGAGCGTCCCTGAGTCCCGGCGGACGGCGCAGGGCCTGCGCCTGCCTGGCCTTCCTGTGTGGGATCACTCGGCAGGGTCTCCTCCAGCCCTCCCACCTCTGCTTGGGACTTGTGTGTTTTTCATTGTACATGGTGGCAGTTCTGTCAATCAGTTCACAGCTGCCCTCTTCCCTCCCACTCCCTTGCCTAAGCCAAATCCCCAACGATTTGGATATCTGAATGTACCCCTCAGCTTATGCGACCAAGGGAATGTTTACAGTGCCGGCCCTCTATTAACCTATGTGAGGTAGAGGCCGAGGCCGAGGACAGCACCACCCCTGCAGTGCTATGACTTTCCATACACATACATATATATAATTTACATACATATATACGTACATATATATACCTAAGACAGAGCTTAATGATGAATTAGACACACAGAGACAATAATGTAAACAGAACAGTCATTATATATATATGTATGTATATGTGTGTATATATATATATATATATATATATATATATATATATATATATAAAAATAGGGTCCTATAAAATGTCTTGATTGCTTCTTCCTAGAGTTTTTCACTAAATATATTCAGACAGGGGACCCGTGGACCAGGGGAGCCACTGGTCTCCCTTTCTCCCTGGAGCCCCCTTATTTTAACATTGGGGTCCATGTGTTGTGGCCAAAATCCAACAAGAACTCCCCTCTAGGAGATGGTGAGCCTCGCGGGAGCCTACCTTGCCCAGGCCGGGGGCGTCCTTCACCTTGTTGACCGCCCTCAGCAGACAGGGCGGGGCCGGGGGAGGGGAGGTCTGCAGAATCCCACTGAAGCTCGTGGCGAAGAGCGGGGTCTCCACGGCAGACACGGTGGAAGGCCGGTGTTTCTTCTTCTTGGAAGACAGGTTTAGCTTCTGGGCAGCTCTGCAGGGGAGACACAGGGAGACATAGCGGACGTCAGGTGTCTGGTGCCACCGGATTCACAGGGGCCAGGTTTTTCCTTTCCCTACAAGGCCTGCCTGAGGCTCAGTGGCCTGTGGCCTGACTGTGCAACACCTCGAGCTGTAATAAGCTACCCGATCCTTTCCACCACTGGAACACTGGCCATAAAACTGCATGGCTCTGCTGTTACAATTCATAGTCTGCTAACACGGGCCCGGCGTGGATAGAGCTGGGGACAAAGAACATCCCTTAGGCTAACAGCCTCCCTGGCACCAACTCACGTGTGCTGAGTGCTTTACAAACTCCAACACTTGTAAAACCAAGCCAGTCCGACCAAGAACCTGTGGCAATTAACGGGGGCAGGCTGTCCAGAAACAGCACACAGCCAGGCAACGGGCTGTGGTGAGGGCAACCTTTCAAGACAAATGCACCTCATCAGCAAGTACGGGGGTGGGTGGGCCAGCAGGGGAGGGTATAGAGGGCAGAGGAGGGGACAGAGAACAGGAGAGGGGAAAGGAAGGAGTTTGCCAGCACCACTAACACTGCCTGTCATTCCAGAGCCTGGCAACACCTAGAACACCACAATCCTGTTCTAGAAAAGGTGAGCGTGGGCAGCGGGGCCTCGAGCCGCCCACCCTGCACGCTCTCGCGGGACTCATCCTGGTGTCACACAGGGACTTGTTGTAAGACATCCACTTCCTCATCAGATATTAGTAAATGCAGAATTGCTGTTTAAAGCAGTTACACCTCAGGTCCCCAAAAAGCAGGTAGGAAGACGAGCCCCGGGGCTCTCTTCATGGTGCAAAGTCCTTAGTTTAGGTGAGAAACTACTAACTGGCTCTCTTTCAGTGACTTCACTGGCAGGCTCCTGCAGTGTCCTTCCCAATGCAGGGTAGATTTCAATGACCGTCTCCTCCGTGAGGACGTGCTCATCCCGAGGGAGGCCCCGGCGGGCAGTGACACTCCTCCTCTTTCCAGTTCTCTGTGAGCTAACGGCAGCCGGCCTCTCCCTGCACCCACCCTACAGCCACTCCACGCGCCACCCACGACCACATTGTCACTCGTGCTGGGCGCCCGCCCGCCCTCCCCCGCCCTCCTGTGTGACACCCATTCTCCCCGCTTCCAGAACACCCTCATTCCTGCCCAGGGTCCTTCACTCGTTCTTTCTCGTCCACCCAGCTCCTTCGTGGGGACCGTGGGGCCCATCCCAGCCCTTCTCCCTTCCACGTGCTGTCTCTGGGTGTGTGCTGTCCCCAGGACACCTGCATTTTGCATTTTATGTCCAGCCTAGCGCTCTCCCTGGAACTCTTTTATATTTATCCAAATGCTTCTTCCACACTTCCACTTGGAGGTCCGATGACGCCTCAGACCCGCTCCCTCGAACTAACCTGGTCCTCTCTGTCTCAGGGCCGGCAGCCCGCCGGCTGGACGTGGAGGACGTTGGACGTCCTGGCTGTGGCTCCTCTTCTCCCAGGACGCACGCACCGTGGGGAAGTGAGCGAGCTCAGCACTCAGAGCGCACCGCAACCCCACACCTCTCACCCCGTCAGGGGCACACTGGCCCCACCGCTGCCCCCCCCCCCCCCATCCTCAGAGCTTCTCACAGCCTCGGCTGGCCTAGTCACACAGCAGTCAGAACAGTTCTTTCAAAACTAGGTCTGTTCAAGGCCCGTCCAAGGCAGGTGCAGTGGCCTAGAAGGCCTTTCGTGATCAGCTCTGTGTCTCCTACGTTTTCAACTACTTGCTTTCATTTTTAAGAAAAACATCAAAATTAGTAGTCGATAGACTCCTAGCACATTGCTACCTGAGGACCTTTGCACAGGCTCTTGCTCCAGCCTGGAATGCTTTGCCAGGAAAGACAGGCCTGGGGCTTACTCCTCACCTCCATGTTACCTCCTCCCCCGCCCTCCCCCCCCCCCCCACCCCGCCCCAAGAACCCACACTAACCCCTCCTGGTTCTCAGGAAAAGTTCACCCCTGGCAGGACTGCCAGCAGCATCAGGATGAGACCCCTACCCCTACCATAAGCCCCCAAATGGGACTGCTGGCACCATAAATCCCAAACGGGACAGCTGACAATAAATCCTCCACAGGGAACAGGACCAAGAATTTCCAAAGAGCCTGACCTCTTTCCCCGTCTCCTCCTCCAAAGATAGGGCTTACCTATCTCCCCCCTCCTGGCCCAATCTTCTTATGTAGCTAAAGGTGGAGTGGGAAGGTCTGACCCCCACCCATCAGCCCAGGGGCACAGGGACCCCAGGAAAAGCCTCAGCTACGCTAGGACGTGCTTGACCATGTGCTTGGCAGGCAGGCAGGGCAATCCACCGGAGCCTGGCCACAAAAGTCCCCGCCTCCCCAGCCGAACAGCCTCCCCAGCCCAAACCTGTCTCCCAGCTCAGATCCCATAAAAGCCCAACTCCAGCCCCACCTCCTCCAGCAACCTCCAATCCCACGGGAAGGTGGCTGCCCCCTGCTGTTCTTCAATGAAGTCTTCACCTGTGGAAGAGGGAGTCCAGCCTATCTCTTTCTCTCCGCCACTTTCCTAGCACCCACTAACGGATGGTACTTTGGTGCTGTTATAAGGCGAAGAGTTCAGACTGAATTTAGGTCTAGATGCCCACATTCACCCTATTCTCTTTATATAGGGCTCAATTTACATAACAAAATTCAACATTCAACCTCAGCAAACAAGGAGGTAACACCAGAAGGCCGAGTTGGTGTCACATTTACAAGAGAAGTTTCTGTAAACATTGGAGCGTCCTGTTAACCTCGTGTGCATGCACACAGAAGCCTTCGCCACTAGGAATGAGCAGGGGTGGGCAGCAACCCCCCTCGCCCCTCCGTGAGCAATGCCAGAGGGAACGCAGGCAGCCCACCTTCCCAGCCCAGCAGGCACTGGGGCCCACGGACACTGGGAAGCAGCTGCCAGCTCCAATGCCAGAACGAGAGGAACGGAGAGACTTAAAGTATAGAGAGTACACTGAGAGGGTATTTTCTTCTTCAAATATGCATGGAAAAGACACACATCACGAACTTTGAAAGGAATAGGAACGGCATTTTACAGATTGCACAATAGCATTTTATCCCAATTTGTCACCACACTAAGGAGCTGTCTGATCTATTTCCTATACTCCGACTTCCTGGAGGTCAGCTGCCTCAGTCCTTTTCGTGCAGCACTTCAATGACACATAGCAAGCCAAAGGTCCAAGTGTAGAAATCACTCACAGATCACTGTATTCTCCAGGAATGTAAGAAGAGGCAGTCAGAAATGGACAAGGTAGACATTTGGGCTAGCAGGGTATTTGGTGTGTTTTGTGCCTTAAAGTTCTTTCTTTTCTTCCACAAGAAGAAAAACAGATGAGCTGTTTTATAAGATAGCAAACCATTACCCTGTAAGGCCACAGCGAGTAATCCTGCTGTCTTATTCTCCCCGGTATCCCCACATGTCTCCTGGAACTATGTAGCAGCATCCATCTTTAACAGCCACGAGCTTCATTTTATTCTCTGTGCCTTATTTCAGGGAAAAAAGATGGTCTCCCCAGCAGGAAGAAATGAATATTCACTGAGCACCTATAAAGCGGTGCCATGCTGCCATGCAGGTGTGGCGCAGGAGAGAAGCTAAGCCTGCTGGGTGCAGTTCCTCACTCCCTGCCCTTTGCATTGCACAGAACCCACAGGTCTGCAAGCCCAGGGTCACACCTGGGGCCGGGAATCAGCCGAGAATTGATGACCTTCACACAGGAAGGCTGTGTTCACTGGCAAGGTCCCCCGACCTGAAAATAAATGGGTTCAAGGACCTGGCTCAAGTGGTAGAGTGCTCACTTTACATGTATGATACCCTGGATTCAATCCCCAGTACTGCAATCAACCAATAAACAAAACATAAGACAACAGAACATAAAAATAAACCCTGTAGTACTGTCAGATGAATTTAGTTGGTTTGAGTAGGGGGGAAGTCTTAAATTTCAGTTACAGAGATCGCAAAGAAACTTACAAGAATTTCTTCTTTTTCCTTTCTGTATTTGTGGAACAGACTGTTTGCCAAACTGCTGCCCCAGATTTCTAGTGCATACATGTGTCTGTGTGCATGCATGCATGCAATTTTTTTAGACCATGCAATTTGTTGTACCAGTACTGGGGCTTGAACTCAGGTCTCACTCTTCTCATTTGGCTTTTTCGCTCTCAGTTGGTCTTTTACCACTTGAGCCACAGCTCTATTTCAGCTTTTTATTGGTGGAGATAGGAGTCTCACAGACTTTTCTGCCCAGGCTGGCTTTGAACCTCGATCCTCAGCTCTCAGCCTCCTGAGTAGCTAGGATTACATGCACGAGCCACTGGCACCAGGTAACTGTGGAGAATTTAGATGGAAAATCCATCATCCCCACTGTATCTACTGAGAACCACACTGGATTTGCCACTCTGGAGTCCAGTATTAAAATATTGACTGTCCAATGTTTTAAGAATGATTAGCTTTGTGAAGAATGGAGCTTCTCCCTGGAGGTCAGACAGAAAAGCTACACAATGCAGTCATTTTTAAGAACTTTGATCCTTTTTAAATTCCACACATGGTAAGTTGTCGACTCCATTTTGAGACGGCTCCGGCTGGCTGAGGGCCGTAGGACATGCAGAGTAGAATGCCTATAATAAATTAAGAGGTCATTCAAGGAATCCTAGGCCCAACTCATACCACGAACAGAGGCGGGGTGTGCGGGGGTGGTGACTGAGAACCTTCTAGTCCTTTGCACGGCTGTACTTGCGGCCAGGGAGAGGCCCCAAGTAGGAGGGGCGAGGCTGCCCGGTCTCCCTCGTCACCCATGGCACTGCAATCCCACTGCAATCCAACGTGAGGGCATCTGGGGCTGCCATACAGAACTCCACGCCGCTCAGAGGACTGAGTGTCCGGTAACGAGCAGTGCTGGACAGAGCACAGCAGTTCCCAGGAAACCCACGCAGGATAGGGGAGAGGAAGACAATTTATAAAGAGATTGTAAGTATGGAGATTAAGTTTCAGAGCCTGTGCTCTGGAAACAAAATGGCCACCCAGGGTAACAGAAGCCAGGGCTGCCACGTCTTGGAGCAGTGCCTCTTGGAGAGTATCCGGTAGGCACGCGGTGAATCGGGCAGTCACCCTGGACCGCCTCAGCTGGGAGCCCAGCACCTAATCGGCCACCAGGAAGGGCCCTTCCCGGTCCCAGGAGACTGAGAAAACATACGGGTCTTGGAGTTTTCCTGATTCTTATGTAAATGATTCCTTTCATTAGTGCCAGAAGGCCATTTATGACATGACTTCAAATAAAATGCTTATTGCTAAGGAGGCAAAGCACAGCTGACTATTGCCTCCAACAGCACTGCAGCAGAACACAGCGTCTACATGGCAGGAAAGCTTAGAACTGGGAAGATCTGCACAGATGAACTCCCAGCGCAAACCCTTGGTGAGAGCCATGGTGCGTGCCAAGGACCTGCCCGTGCCCCAGGGACTCACGGCTGTCTGGTATGGGGAGTCGGTTCATCCACCCCAGTCCTCCCATCGCTGGGCTGGGCAGAACATGCTTCCCGCCTCCATCGCACATCAAGGCGTGCTTTGCAGTGCGGCCTTTCGCCATGTGTCTGCACCCTCCCCGGGCTCCCTGACCTGCCCCGGGCTCTGCTCTCGCTGAAGAACCAATGTGAACTCACACTGTTCACACCGTTCTCCCCGGCCAGCCACCCTCTGTAGTTCTATCAACGCAAGTCCAAGGCTAAGTAGCCTGGAGTTGAGATGATGCTTTGGCCTTGGGATGTTTTATTTTTAAGGTATTTTGTACACATCATCCCATCCATCCTTTACCTGACCCTAGAAAGCAAGCAGAAAAGGTATTTGTCCTGGAAATTACTGACTTAGGAAGAAGATGGAGGCTCAGCAGTCACCTGGCTTTACCCAGTCCGAGAAGGGGCAGCCGTCCACCCCAGGACTCAGGTCTTCTGTTTGCTACACCAAGGGCCTTTGCACACCACCATGTTATTGTACGCTCTGACAAATGAAAGCACTTATTTTATTTTATTTGGGCAAAATAAAACCAAATGAAAATCATTTGTCTAATAATGAAGAGGGGAAAAATCCAGTTACATATTTTTGTGTGTAACTCAAATCAAATCATATATAAGCATTTTACCAATTACTGATCTAGTTGCTTAGCAACCCAGCTCCATATCACAGGGGGAAATGTCTTCATCTAGTGAGTTACGTCAGGGCCAGAATTAGGATGTGAAAGGTAGATTATTTGAAATAGCTTATCCCTTCATACAACCTGAGAGTATGTCCTTGCGTAGCAACAACCACACTACCACAACAACTACCCCACAACTACCACACAGCACTGTGGTGTACAAATACCACCACCTCCTGTATCTTTCTCCACACCCATGAAACGGATGCTGGGAGCACCTTAGAAGTCATCTCAGTACTCCCGGGAACTTGATCAACCAATCGATATTTATTAAATGACAACAATATAGCAGAGAACTATGCAAGCCACAGGCTACAAATAGAGTTCACGTTGTCTTGGAGTCGCTCAGCTACTGCTCTATACTAAACAGTCAGCTCCTGAACTGCAGAGATGAGAAGAACCCACACTCCCCAGTGCTACTGAGAACTTCATCCTGGCTGCAGAGCAGCGGAGATAAAGACAAGCTGGGAGAAGCCTGGGGACGCACAGCACACAAGCCACTGCCGGCCGAGGGGCTTCTCATCAGGCAGGCCCCAAGCCATGCCGGGCCATGTGAGCCGACAGGCGCCCGAAGCAACAAGAGGCATAAGAAGCAGATTCTGAGAAGCATTGCTGTTGTTAATCCATGTCGGTCTCCACTTTGTCATGGCCAGATGAAAATACGGCCAAAGGCACAGATAATGGGTGGAAAAGGAATCTGTTCCTAAACTAATTTTTTTGCCTAAAACCTGTTCAAGGCTAAAGCCAGGCACGGATGGCAGTGTGTTTTGAGCCATACTCCTTGGGTGGAAATTGACACAGTCACATGCCCTGATAAAGCAGAAAGTGTTTAATGAAAGAATTAGCCGCCGGCACAGGCAACTCTGCAGGGACACAAAGCACGAGCCTGTTATGTCCTGGCTGTGGATATTTGGGTTTTGGAAACACCAAATGAACACCCATTGGTGGCAAAGCAGATGCCTTGCTGAGGGCTTCTGAATCCCAGGCTCCAAGGGAGGGGGTCCCCTGCCTCTGCCAGGTGCCTGGGGGACCAGGCCACTGAGGGTGGGGACGCTGCAGCAATGCATGCCGGGACTGGAGCGTCCTAAGAACAATCCGTCGGCTTGTCTGGTGGGTGTGGGTGTAGGGGGAGAGGAAGCCAGCCCTGCTTGGCCATCTGTTGTCTCTGCCCGCCTCTGTCCACACACAGCAGGTCCTACACGCTGAGCAGATCCACATGACTTCCTCTGATACGTCACCTGGCGGGGATGCTGGGGAAGCAGCTTCCCAGTGGCTGGTGATGAGTTCTGGGGCCATGGGAGACATGGGGAACTGGTCTCTGATGAACTTGCTTTCATCCAGAACTGGACAAACTGGTGCCACATGGAGGCAGCCCGAGCCTGTGCAGATTTTCTATTAAGGTTGTCAACTCCTTCATGTCCAGTGAATTCAGTAAATAAGACCAAGTCCTGCTCAGACAGCAAGTTCCATTCGGGACCAAGAGGAAAACAGGATTGAAACTGGACCAGACCTGTTCTGGGGACCACACACTCACTTCAAGCCTCGGCAATCTTCTAGAGTTTAGCCACAACATTCCCTTTTTTTCTTTTTATCTTTATTGAAAAGGTGATGAGCAGGGGTTATAGTTACATTAGTGAGGTAATGAGTACATTCGTTTTCAAATACTGCTGCCCCATCGCTCATTTTTCCCTGCTTTCCCCTCCCCAGAACCTTCCCCCCAAGTTGTGTAATTCATTTCCAACATAGCGGCAGGTGAGTATCAATGCTCCATTAGTTCACCTTTGTCCGGCTCTTTCTGTGATTCCCTTTCCCTTTCACAGATCCAATAAACTTACATACAAGACAAAGACACAGAAAACTAAAAGAGAAAAAAAGAAATAACTGCATGCAGGACAGAGGAGAACCTCTTGTTTCCAATTCTTGGGGTTCATGTTGACATGCTTCATTATACATGGTCCTTTGCACTTAGCAATTGGGCAATCAAAATCCTCTGTTAAGAATATCATGGACATATTCTAGTTCTTATAAGTGAGGGAAACGATGCAACTTACTTTTTTGGGGGTCTGGTTTACTCACTCAATATGATTTTTTCCAAGTCTTTCCATTTCCTTAGAATGCGGCGATGTCATTCTTCCTGATGGAAGCACAGAATTCCATTGTGTATATTTACACTCCCACCAACAGTGCAGTAGGCTTCCCTTTTGGCCACATCCCTGCCAGCATCTGTTGTTACTACATTTCTTGATAATGGCCATTCTAACTGGAGTGAGGTGGAATCTCAATGGTGCTTTGATTTGCATTTCTTTTATGGCCAGAGAAGTTGAGCATTTCTTCAAGTGTCTATTGGCCATTCTCATTTTTTCTTCAGAGACGTCTCTCTTTAAGTCTTTAGCTCAGTTGTTAATGGGGTGGTTGTTTCTTTGAGGATTTGTTTGGGAGATTTAATTTTTTGAGCAGTAAGTATATTTTAAATATGAGGCTCTTGTCTTTTGTATGGCTAATGAAGATCTTCTCCCAGTTTGTGGGCTATTTATCTTGCTACTATGTCTTTTGCTGTGCAGATTGATGAATATCGATGCAAAACTTCTCAATAAAATTCTGGCCAATCAACCTCAACAACTCATCAAAAAATTATACACTATAATTAAACAGAATTCATCCCAGGGATGCAAAGCTGGTACAATATATGCAAGTCAATTAATGTAATTCAACACATCAATAGGCACAAGGACAAGAACCACATGATCATCTCCATAGATGCAGAAAAAGCATTTGACAAGATCCAATACTCCTTTATGATGAAAGCTATAGATGGAAAGCTCTATGATGAAACTAGGAATCCATGGAACATTCCTCAATATAATAAAGGCAGTATATGACAAGCCTACAGCCAGCATTAACCTTACTAGTGAAAAGTTAAAGCCATTTCCTCTAAAATCAGGAATGATACAAAGCTGTCCACTCTCTCCACTCCTATTCAAGATAGTATTAGAATGCCCAGCTAGAGCAATAAGGCTAGAGGCAAACATAAAGCACAAATTCAGTGCCCACGAACCTTCCCAGGCTGACTTCCCAGACGCTCCCTGCCTTCGGCTCTTTATGTTGCTGGCCCGACCCACCACCCCGTCTTGCTGACTACAGGGAAATTGGGGAGCTTCTTACCTCACCCCCCCAGTGACACCTGTGCACAGGGGCTTGGTACATAAATTATAGGAACTGTCCACGCCAGATTTGTGTAAGTGAAAAGCAACTTAAAAACCCATTCCCAAAGCCAAACATACAAAGTCAATTGGTTTTGCTGCCATCTTTCCTAAACAGGCGCCACGGAGCACTGGCAGACCTTGCTGAAGAGAACAGACGAGAACTCAACAGCACTGACACCACTGCTGTCCAAGAACACACGCTGAGGAAAAGCTCATCTACGCTAATGGAGACCATTCCTTGTGAAATGCCAGCACCTGGTTTTCTGCTGAGAAAAATTCCCCTATAAAAAACCTATGTCCACCCTCTACAACACAAGAACTGTCCAAGTAAAATTAAAATTCCTTAAGGAACTCTGCACATTCCAGAAAATTTGATTGCCAGAGTGTAATCACTCCAGCGTTGTCTTCATTACATCATGCTGCCTTTCTGGTTCAATCACCTGCACACAGGCTAATGCAATGTAAAAAGGAAGAATTGCCATAACCTACAACAAATCGATCACAGT